CACTTGTAGGGTTTCTCACCTGTATGTTTTCTCATATGTACAGTTAGATGGGACCTATCAGCTGTCCTGTATCCACACTCCCCACACATGTAGGGTTTGTCTCCAGTGTGTTTAGCCATGTGTTTGTCTAAATCGCCTTTTTGTGCAGCAGAATAGTCACACCGGTCACACTTGTAGTGTTTTTCTCCTGTATGCTTTTTCATATGCTTGGATAGGCTAGACCTGTCAGCCGTCCTAAAACCGCACTCCCCACACATGTGGGGTTTGTCTCCGGTATGTTTAGCCATGTGTCGGTCTAAATCGTCTTTCCGTGCAGCAGAATAGTCGCACTGATCACATATGTAGGGTTTCTCACCTGTATGTCTTCTCATATGTACAGTTAGATGGGACCTATCAGCTGTCCTGTATCCGCACTCCTCGCACATGTAGGGTTTTTCACCAGTGTGTTTAGCCATGCGTTTTTCGAAATGGTCTTTCCGTGCAGTAGAATAGTCGCACCGGTCACATTTGAAACGTTTGTCCACAGTACCTTTCACCACAGGCCAGTCCGTCTGCTCTGTTTGACTCTGTACGGGAGGATGGACAGAGTTTACCCCGTGCGTTTCCTCCGATAGAATGTCCTCTTCCTTGTCCTGCTGTCCTCCCGTGTCTCTTGCCGGGTCCTCGCTGCTGCTTGTCCCGTTCCCAGGGTGCACAGTTGGCAGCTCGTCCGCAGGAATCTCACAGCTTCTCCGGTCCATAATTTTCTTACAACGAAAACAAAATATTCGAAGTTGAAGGATAAAAAAAAAAAGGTTTTCAACATATAGTTCCAATGTCTATATTCTTAGAACTCAAAGAACACATTGGCCCGTATGTCCGCAAAGGCCAGTAGTCATTCACATTAGAAAATCATGGAGTATCCTTTGTCTATCAGCAACATAATACATGTATATCCGATGTGCCCCCCTCCCCATGTATACCTTAGATAATTCACGCGTCACGATTTGAAGTATCTGCTGCGGTACCGCGACACAGCGAGTGTAGGAGGTACACAAAGGTCTTACCTATCTTTTAAAACTGCCCAGAGTAGGTTTAGAGTCGAAGTAAGTTGGAAATCGCCTCAGATTGGAGAGAAATGACACCCTCGCACGGCTCAAAATGGCGGACAAGCGTAATCAAAGGTCAAATCATTCAGACGGGGCAAAGGTGAAAGTTGACAAACCTGATTACCCAGATCCGGGATTTTGTCGTGACGGACGTCTTGCATGATATATTGCTCTTTTTTCTGCTCTATCAGTTTGAACAACTGTTTCTGCTGCATTTGCTACAATTGTAGTAGTATATGTTCGAAGAAAAAGACAACTATAAGAAGATGTTTGCAAAGTGGATGTGCTGATGAGTAGATATGAGATATGTGTATATATCAGCTTATTTCACAACATGAGCGAATTGAATATAAAGATGTAAATATAAAGATGGAAAGATGAACATGGGGCTAGGTAAGATAAGGTAAGGTACAAGCAGCTTGAAATGGTTGCAGTACCTTTATTTCTTTTCGCACAATAATACAATATGTAATGTATCTAAACCTAAGTCTATTTTTAAAAGAACTACTTTACAATGGGAAGGAGTGTTTTTTTTAGCATTAGTATTATTTATTATTAGTGCTATTGCATCAATACTTCTTCATCGCGTACTGAATGTACCATAAGTATTCCAGTAACCTGTCTATAGAATAATGTACAAAAGAATACGAGTAACAGATCTATAATACACGTACGTAATGTACAACATTATCAACACATCAACTACCATAATTATTAGCATCTACAGTGACATAAAGAAACTTTAAACTTAATAACAAACATATCGGTCACTCTGACACATAAAAAACAGTTGAAGGGTTTTTCAAACGTACGCTTCTTTTTATGGTAAGACAGGAAAAGCTGTCATCAGTGCTGTTTACACAATTCACGGGTTTATCATGTTTAAATGTTTAACCATCTGAAGATCTAGACTAATTTTAAATGCTGGCGAATCATCAAATCTGTTTCCTTGTAACATTTTTTTTACCTGTATCGTCGACTAAAAGGCAGTTCCAAACTAGTTGTGTGGTTTCTTTCCTGTATTGGTATTCATATGCGGGACACAGTAGATAATTTTGCCATCCGCACTACCCTAACATACGAGGTTTGTCAGCAGTGTGTTAAGCCATGTGTTTGTATAAAGTACAGCACTGAAAGTCACACTGGTCACACTGGTAAGGGTTTATCGTCAGTGTTTGTAGCTATGTGTTGGTCCAAATGTCTTTTGCGTGCAGCAGAATAGTCCCACTGCTCACATCGGTATAATCATTGTCATGTATGTTTTTTCATATGCTTGGATAGGTAAGACCTGTCAGCCGTCCTGAATGCGCACTTCTCACACATGTAGGGTTTGTCTCCAGTGTGTTTAGCCATGTGCCGGTCTAAATCGTCTTTCCGTGCAGCAGAATAGTCACACTGGTCACATTTGTAGGGTTTCTCACCTGTGTGCCTTCGCATATGCACGGTTAGGTGAGGCCTGTCAGCTGTCCTATATCCACACTTCTCACACAAGTAGGGTTTGTCTCCAGTGTGTTTAGACATAGTACCTTTCACCACAGGCCAGTCCGTCTGCTCTGTTTGACTCTGTACGGAAGGCTGGACAGAGTTTACCCCGTGCGTTTCCTCCGATAGAATGTCCTCTTCCTTGTCCTGCTGTCCTCCCGTGTCTGTTACCGGGTCCTCGCTGCTGCTTGTCTCGTTCCCAGGGTGCACAGTTGGCATCTCGTCCACAGGAATCTCACTGCTTTTTCGGTCCATAATGTTCTTAGAACCAAAACAAAATACATTATTTGGAAGTTGAAGGATAAAAAAACGTTTTTGTAGTACCCAAGTCTATATTATCATAACTCTAGGAACACCTTGACCAGTATGTCCGTTAAGGCCAGTAGTCATTCACATTAAAAAATCATGGAGTATCCTTTTTCTATCAGAAACATAAATGTATATCCGATGTGCCCCCCTCCCCATGTATACCTTAGATAATTCACGCGTTACGATTTGAAGTATCTGCTGCGGTACCGCGACACAGCGAGTGTAGGAGGTACAAAAAGGTCTTACCTATCTTTTAAAACTGCCCAGAGTAGGTTTAGAGTCGAAGTAAGTTGGAAATCGCCTCAGATTGGAGAGAAATGACGCCCTCGCACGGGTCAAAATGGCGGACAAGCGTAATCAAAGGTCAAATCATACAGATGGGGCAAAGGTCAAAGTTGAGAGACCTGATTACCCAGATCCAAGATTATGTAGCTGCTGAGACGGTTTGTCGTATATTGCAATTTTGTCAACTATATTTTTTTAAACGGCTATCATTCTACAGCCATTACAATTGCAGTATAAGAAAACAGCCGCTTGAAAGTAGATGATATTTGTAAAGTGTATGATGATGATGATAGTTATATTTGCGTGTACATGTATATGTTACCTAATTTCACAACTTGGGCTGAATGAAAGCAAATTTTGAACGGTTTCAGCATTTTATTCTTTTGTTTTGAACTATTGAATCAAACTCTATGTGAATAACTATATAATACATCACCAGCTCTTATTGCATTAACATATGAGGAACAATAAAGAATGGTTCAAACAATGGCAATGGTTTTATATATACGACGAGAATGTTTTTGGACGAATGTACTTCTTTGTCACGCACTAAACGCGATATCAGTATTCCAGTAACCTATCTGAAAAATACGAGTAAATCAACTAATAAAGAACATTATCAGCATAAGGGGACGGAAGCATTCCAAAATCTCAACAAATATTGCCTAGAGTGACATCTAAAAAAATGGTCTTATATAAACACTTAGTCACATTGAAGGATAACAACGTGGTTACATGTAAAGGCTCTTGTGGTAATTAAGATAGGAAAGGTCACCAGAAAATTGGCTAGGGATTATTGTAATTGATTGTTTTACCATGTGAAGGTCTAGACTACTTTCCCATGCTGACGTAACGTCACATCTATTACCTTTGTAACATTTTTCACCTGTGGCTGTATGTTACGAACTGGTTGGTCGGATGGTTGGTTGGTCAGATGGTTTGTTAGTTGGTTGGTTGGTTTCTTAAATGCATCGGTTCTTCATATGCGGGACGGATGTGATATGCTCACCACATCCTCACATACGGGGTTTCTCAGCAGTGTGTTTAGCCTTGTGTTTGTCTAAATACCGCTTCTGTGCAGCGGAATTATCAATAGTCACACTGGTGACACTTGTACAGTTTATCGTCAGTGTGTGTAGCCATGTTCTTGTCAAAATGGCTTTTTCCGTGTGGCGGAATAGTCGCAGTACTCACAGTTTTATGGTCTTTCTTCTGTATGCTTTTTCATATGCCTGGATAGGCTAGGTCTATAGGCCGTCCTAAAGCCACACTCCCAACACATGTAGGGTTTTTCTCCCGTGTGTTTTACCAAATGTAGGTCTAAAGTTGACTTTTGCGCAGCAGAATAGTCGCACTGGTCACATTTGTAAGGTTTTTCTCCCGAATGCTTTTTCATGTGCCTGGATAGGTTAGGTCTATTAGCCGTCCTGTATCCGCACTCCCCACAATTGTAGCGTTTATCTCCGGTGTGTTTAGCCATGTGTTTGTCTAAATCGCTTTTCCGTGCAGCAGAATAGTCGCACTGGTCACATTTGTACGGTTTCTCACCTGTGTGTTTACTCATATGCACGGTTAGGTGAGACATGTCAGCTGTCCTGTACCCGCACTTCCCGCACATGTAGGGTTTGTCTCCAGTGTGGTTAGTCATGTGTCGGTCTAAACTGTTTTTCTGTGCAGCAGAATAGTCACACTGGTCACATTTGTAAGGTTTCTGACCTGTATGCTTTCTCATATGAATAGTTAGGTGAGACCTGTCACCTGTCCTGTATCCACACTCCCCACACATGTAGCGTTTATCTCCGGTGTGTTTTGCCTTGTGTTTGTCTAAACTGACTTTCCGTGCGGCAGAATAGTCACACTGGTCACATTTGAAGGGTTTTTCTCCTGTATGTTTTCTCATATGCACGGATAGGGCAGACCTGAAAATAGTCCTGTATCCACACTCCCAACACATGTAGGGTTTGTCTCCAGTGTGTTTAAACATGTGTGTGTCTAAATGGCCTTTCCGTGATGCAGAATAGTCACACTGGTCACATTTGTAGCGTTTGTCCACAGTACCTTTCACCACAGGCCCGTCCGTCTGCTCTGTTTGACTCTGTACAGGAGGATGGACAGAGTTCACCCCGTACGTTTCCTCCGATAGAATGTCCTCTTCCTTGTCCTGCTGTCCTCCCGTGTCTGTTGCCGGGTCCTCGCTGCTGCTTGTCTTGTTCCGAGGGTGCACGGTTGGCAGCTCGTCCTCAGGAATCTCACAGCTTCTCGGGTCCATTATTTTCTGAAAGCAAAGATAAAATCTCTCAAATTGAAACGTCGAGAACGTTTACATACTATCCGTTTATATACTATAAGACCAAAACTAAAACATCAGGAATTCAAGCATAATGATATTTCCATACTATTTATGCCCCCAGTCTATATGACCCCATAGCCAGTATATTTGGAAAGAGACCAGTGATATTGGATATCAGATATCCTATCTGGGTCGATCTGCCCCCCTCCCCATGTATACCTTAGATAATTCACGCATCACGATTTGAAGTATCTGCTGCGGTACCGCGACACAGCGAGTGTAGGCTGTACAAAAAGGTCTTACCTGTCTTTTGAAACTGCCCAGAGTAGGCTTAGAGTCGAGGTAAGTTTGAAATCGCCTCAGATTGGAGAGAAATGACACCCTCGCACGGCTCAAAATGGCGGACAAGCGTTATCAAAGGTCAAACCATACGGATGGGGCAAAGGTCAAAGTTGACAAACCTGATTACCCAGATTCAGGATTTTGTTGTTACGGACGTCTTGCATGATATATTGCTCTTTTCTCTGCTCTATCAGTTTGAACGACTGTTTCTGCTGCATTTGCTACAATTGTAGTAGTAGATGTTCGAAGAAAAAGACGACTATAAGAAGATGTTTGCAAAGTGGATGTTACAATTGTGATGATGAATAGTTACGAGATATGTGTATATATCTCTGTTGATGTCGGTAAGCTAAGATTTTAAAGACATCTGAAACCTGTATACACAATCGAACGTTATGTTCACATCAAAGACTTCGATGTTAGATCATCCATATGTAAGCCTAGAGTTAGTGCTCATACATTAGAAATAGAAAAGGGTAGATACAAACAATTGCCTGTTAACGACAGAATATGTAAATATTGTACAGGAAACGCAGTGGAGGATGAAATGCACTTAATTTGTCACTGCCCTCATTATAGCACCGAGAGAGATCAGTTATTTGAAATGGTCACCAAAATGTTCCCCAGCTTTATTTACCTTCCCAGCCTACAAAAAATGCATTTCTATTAACACCTCCCAATTCATATATATCGCAAAATGTCGGCCATTTCATACTCCACTGCACACGGAAAAGAAATCAAACCCAACAATAACTACAAATGTATATATAAAGAAGCATTAGCATCACTTATTATCATTTTACTGTTTACTGTTATTATCATGTTCTTGCAATTAGCCCTCGGGCATGAATTTGCAATAAACTTTCATATATCAGCTTATTTCACAACGTGAGCGAATTGAATACAAATAGATATGTACAAGCAGTTTGAAATGGTTTCAGTACCTTTATTTCGTTTTGTACTATAACATCTAAATCTAAGGATTTTAGGACATTTTCTATCGTTTAAGTATTAGTATTAGAATGATTAGTACTAGGGTATCAATATTTCTTTATCACGTACTTAATATAACATACGTACATGTGTCTAGTA